CGCCCTTAGGAAACGAGGAGCAACAGGAACCCAGCGCTGTCCTTCGGGGTGGAAGACAAAGCGGTAAAGGATTGAGTTTTCAGTCTTGAAGTTCCGCAGCCGTCGATGGGCGCGAGCGTTGGGAGGACGAGAGGAGCCTTGAAGGCGCTGCATTATAGAGCGACAGTAAGTGTTGCTGCGTTGGTGCGATGCAAACGTCTCGTTGTTGAAGGTAGAAAGAAAATCGACAGCGGCGAGTGAATGAACTGACGGAGACACTTTGATGGGTTCACTCACAGTTGGCGACAGGGCAGGAGTGCCTGATGAGGATTGTAAAGGACAGCGGCTAAGGGCATCGGCATCGTTGTATTTCTTGCCGGATTTGTAGATAACGTCAAGCTCGTATTCTTGGAGACGAAGTATCCAGTGACCGAGACGTCCAGACAAATTCTTCAACGTCGACAGCCAGCACAAAGCGTGGTGGTCAGTGACGATGGTAAAGTGGCAGCCATGAAGATATGGTCGAAACTTCTGGATGGCCCAGACAACGGCAAGACACTCGTGCTCGGTGATGGTGTAGTTTTTCTCTGCTGCTGTGAGGGTGCGACTTGCGTATGCGATCACACGTTCGTCATAATGTTCTGCTTGTTGCAGAAGTACAGCGCCGAGTCCGTGTCCGCTGGCATCGGTATGGAGGAGAGTGGGTGCGGCGTTATCGAAATGACAAAGCACTGGCTCAGACGTGAGGGCACGTTTCAAGGTGTCAAAAGCCATTTGCCATTCGTCCGACCATACATATGACGATCCCGATGAAAGGAGTTGGTGAAGTGGCGCAGCAATAGTGGCGAAGTCTCGTATAAAGCGGCGGAAGTACGACGCAAGGCCAAGAAAGCTTCCGAGCTCTTTGACGCGTTGAGGCACCGGGAAGTGAAGAACGGCGGCAATCTTGTCGGGATCAGGCCGTATTCCATCTTTGTTGACGAGATGTCCGAGTACTTTAATACTTTTCCTAGCAAAGTGGCACTTCTTGGTGTTGAGCTGAAGGCCAGCAGCTGCGATACACGTCAGAACTTCATTTAGGCGCTGCAAGTGCTGTTCGAATGTTGAAGAAAATATGATGATGTCGTCAAGGTAACATAAGCATGTTTTCCACTTAAGGCCCCGCAATACAGTGTCCATCAGTCGTTCAAACGTTGCTGGCGCATTGCAGAGGCCGAAAGGCATGACGTTAAATTCGTAAAGTCCGTCGGGTGTGGCAAAGGCAGTTTTTTCCTTGTCATCCTCGTGCATTGGAATTTGCCAATAACCGGAGCACAGGTTAAGGCTCGAAAAATATTCCGCTCCTTGTAAGGATTCTAAGGCATCATCAATGCGAGGCAAGGGATATACGTCTTTTCTGGTTACTTTGTTTAATGCGTGGTAGTCAACGCAGAATCGCACCGAACAGTCTTTTTTTCTTACGAGAACGACAGGTGACGACCAAGGGCTTGAGGAGGGGCAGATGATGTTTTGCTTGAGCATATCAGCAACGTGCTTGTCGATGATCTCGCATTCGCTGGAAGAAACACAGTGTGGTCGACGACGGACAATAGAAGTTCCGTCGGTGTGTATGCGATGAGCCACCGCAGAAGTCTGGCTTAGAGCAGTGGAATGTACGTTGATAGAAAATTTATGCTTAGACAACAACGCCAGTAGTTCGTCTGCTTGCAGGGGAGTGAGATCCATGCTGATGGCATTGACGAGAGCCGTAGTAGGTGGAGCATCTGTTGGTATTGAACGTGATTCCACCAGACTAGTATCCGAAGCCACTACAGAGATAGGTTGTGTGTTCATGCTGGAAACTACAACAGTGCCCTTAGTCAGCAGAATCGGCTCATTGGTGATATTCAGTACTGCGAGAAATGCGGTGCCGTTGGAGAAGCGGACAAGACTCGATGAAAGTGCAATCCCTCTGGATAGACAACGGGCTGATGGACTGACTAGGACGTCACCGTGGTCAATGGAGTCAGACATAACTGTGATAACGTGCTCGTGGTTAGGTGGTACAAGGAAGTCATTGGCTGTTCGTAGCCAGTCACGTGATAATTTCGGGAAAATATCATCCGTCTTTCGCATATGTATGAGTTGTTGTCGACAAGAGATGGAAGCAGCAGCATGAGAAAGTCCCATCCTAAAATAAGCATAAAAGCACAAGAAGCCAGCACGGCAAACTGAATATGATGCCGGATCCCATCAATGAAAACTCTAACGGTGCACTGTGCTGATGGTCGTATCTGCGAGTCATTTGTGCTACGTAAGAGAGTGCCAGTATAAGGTGTGGTAACCTTACGTAGACGAGTACACAAATCCGCATGAATAACAGAAATAGCAGCCCCCGTGTCCACCAATGCCTGAACTGGTATCTCTTCGGCATACACTAATAACAAGTTGGCTGTGCCCTCTGAAAATCTTGGTGTTTGTTCGAGCGATGCAGCTTTCCCTCAAAAAACTGCACCAGCTAGTTTTCCGAGTGGTAGTCAGAAGTAGGTACAGCCGGTCTCAGAGGAGATGTTGAGCTTCGTAGAGGTGAAGGGGACCGGCGGCGTCCGGGATAGCAGGGGCGAGGTGCGGCGAGTGGAGAAGTCAAAGAGAAGGAACGTGTCGTAGGGCGTCGCTGGTACTGGTTCGGGGATGGCTCCAAATCCCTTTCGTAAACAACGTAGCCACGACGTTCGTCCTGTTGGCGCTTGCGGCAAAATCGTGAAATATGGCCCCGAATGCCACAATAGTAACATATTGGGCGAGGCGAGCGCCAGGGGGCGTAGTGTGCTGGAGCTCTCACAGGCGCTGGTACTGGCGCTGGGACAGGCAAGTGTGGTGCAAATGCTGCTACGTTGAACTGCGCTGGAACAGGATGCACGTGCTGAACCAAGGCAGGTGGCATGGCAGCGACTTGCGCATACGTCATGGGTGGTGTTGCTGGCGCCGTAGTGTTCAATGGGAGAGTGCCAGCCATGGATGAGAGCTCCTCTTTGATGATGTCGTGCAGACCAGCAGATTGAGAGTGAGGCCGAGGGGCGGGTGCACATGACAACCATTGCGCTTGAAGTTCCTCGCGAATCAGAGTGCGAATCAGCGCGCGCAAATCCGCATTCAAGGAAGACCGGCTGTCACTGGCGTTTGGGTAGTCTGGGTGCAATCGAATGGTCTGGAGTTTATCAAGATGCTGACATGTCGTGATGACGTCCTCAACGGTGGTGGGGTTTTTAACAGCCAGAGCGTTAAACGCGACATGGCCTATCCCTTTGATGATGTGGTGAACACAATCAGCTTCTGTCATCGCTGAGTTCACGCGGTGGCAAAGGGCAAGGACGTCTTCAATGTACGAAGTGTACGTCTCCCCGGGAAGTTGGGCACGCCCATCGAGCTTTCGTTTCGACACTTCGGAATGGATGTTCGGTCTTCCAAAAATGCTACGGACTTGTTGAGCAAAAGTAGGCCAATCCGGGAAGCTGCTCTCGTGGTTAAAAAAACCACGTTTTCGCGACATCGGACAGATAGAAGGCGACGTGACGAAGTTTTTGAGGCTAATCCCTTTGGTTATAAACACTGGTCATGTCGTATTATTTTAGCCATACCTCGATGTCGTCGCGTAGAAGACCACAGAAGATGGGTGGGTCGCGCTGCTGGGCGTTGACGATCCACACAGGAATGGTTTGTTGGACAGGGATGCTGGATGTTCCAGGCAGCAGCTCTTGAGCCATGACAGCGGACGGGGGAAGCAAGCGGCGACCCGAACGAAGCTCCAGGGGAACGTGACGTCGGAGAGGACTTGGGGATCGAAGCACCTCCATCACTCTGTAAGACAGTAGCAGCGTTGGAGTCTCGACGGCGTTTATTAGGCCGAATCGTCTGATCAACCCTTCGAACAAAGACGTTTTTCGTGATGATGATTATATACAGATGAAGAAGATGAAGGTCAAACGTTATCAATATTGTGCTTACAATATTAATGTTCAAGATGCTTCGACAATGCTTTGAGCTCCTGTTGGTGTATAGCAAATTTTTTATTTGCTTCTAAAACACCGATAGCTGCTCAAACATTTTTTGTGCTCCGAAAAAAACGTATGTCTGCTCCGAAAGAGTACTTTTTCTGCTCCAAAGTGTGCTTCAAAAAGTGAAAAGTCTATTTCATCACCGCACTAATGCTATAGTATTCTATGTTGTCAGCTATATTTTTATGGATAAAGAACCCCACCCCTGGCTCTCCCGTCAACTAAGCCACGGTAGCATAGGATGTGTCTGTTCTTTAGCAGCATTGCATAAGCTTCATGTGTCTTCCAAATTTTGCTGAGCCCTGTTACGTTGCATTTAACACCCACTAATTCCTTGAATAACACAGCAAGGCTTGCCTCACTAGATAACATTTTAGCATCAAACGTAGCCAGGCTCAGGATTCTAGTGGGAACATGTCCGGATCCAAAGAATCTTAGCTCCCTCTGTTGCGTCGCAGGTCTGACTGCCGCTTTGGTCTGTTGCTTCGCAATCATTGGGGACTGAGGACCGAGGGTTAATTGGTGTGTTCATAAAAACGGAGAGGCTAGCGAGTTGGTACTGATTCATTAAGGCGTTTTCATGTTGGAGCTGCTTAGTAATATACAATATATTTTTTTAACCACAATAGCATCACATTATGAGTTATATCAGGCCGAGTTTTTTTTTGAAAATTGCAATTTGTCAAATGCTCGGTTATGGTTTTATATGTGTGGTCTGAACCTTCATAGGCTTAATTTACTATTTAACTTGTCGTCTAAGCAGGAATGTTTTCACGGAAGTCGAGCCATTACTGTTTCAGAGCACCATAATCCTGATCTTTCATTTATAGTAGCACACACAACGTGCATGTTTGCTGGCCAATTGGTCACTCACTGCACCTACCCATCAGCCCTTGCAATAGCATCAATGCCCTCAAACACTTGCTAAAGACAGCTTTTCATGCCTTGCTCCATCAATACTTATAGAAAATGACTCTTTCTGTGCAGGTCTTATTCATGTTGGTGATGAAGTCCATGAAGTGAATGGAGTTAGTCTGAAAGGCAAGGCACCACATGATGTCGTCAGCATTTTGGTGAGCACAGTTTTCTTAAATGGAATGGCATTGCTCATCTGTTGTATGCCCATGTTTATCTTTTACATACTGTATTAACCTGTTAGGTATCAAACTTTTTCACCTAATGCAACCTCTCAGGGTCACTTTTTTATTGAAGAGACGCTAATTTTCCTTCTGCCTTAGAAAGAATTTGGGTTTGAAAGGGACATGCTGATTGGTTGAAAAATTCAGTGTGGTTCATTGGGCTCTAATATGGTGGTAATAAGACGTTCAACCCCAACAATTAATATTACACATAGCTGTTGCACAATTTAGCCTGGTGTTTGCCAAATGCATTAATGGACAAATCCTGCTTCCGAAGTGTTGTGAAAGGGTGCTACATCTGCTCTGAATGGTCCTTCTGGCTGCTTCAAACTTGCTCAAAAAGGTTTTTCTGGATGATACAAGCCTGCTACAAAATGCACTCTTGCTTGCTCCCAGGACTGCTCCCAAACTCATGTAGCCTGTTCTATCACTGTTCATTCCACACCCATCGAAGTATGACTGCTGGGGCCAGTAATTGAACATACATGCAAAAATGCTTACATGTAAGCATGGTAGAATTTCTCTGGGAATTTAGGTAGTCGACACGCAATCATATGATGACATATCGCGAAATTACGCAACATTATAGATTGGCCAGACTTATTTACCCCCCTGGGCACGAATCTCCATTTTTTTTAATTGCGACAAATACTTTCCTTTAAGGCATACTATTTTTGCGAGTATGTTTGTTAAATGTGTGCCGTTAGGCCGGTGCTGTGTATGAAGTGGTGTCTTGTGAAATGTGTTGTCATGTATCCAGCGGTTTGTAACTGGCTGTGTCGCTGTAGCAAAGGTCGGCTTGAAAGAGGTGACGGGAGCGTTCTGGCTGCAACCCTTTACATGTCCATATAAGGTGGTATGCATCTGCTTGCATTGCTGGAGTGGGACAATATGGACACGTATCACCAACTCGTAAATGTGACCAGTTCCATGATAATGTAATGGACGGTGTAAGGGCCACCCCTGCCCGACGCCTCCTAAGCACAACTTCCTCCTGCCTAGTAAGTTGAGGTGGGAGAGAGCAGACACACGGTAGAATGAGAGCACGTGTATATTGCCGGAGAACATTTTTACGGGTATGGAGCAAGTTAAGGGGCTGAGGTGGAAGGGGAATGGCTGAAAGGTCCATGTCTGGAGGGCAGTGCACCTGCTGGTCAGCAGCATGTTGTGTGGGTTCGCAACATGGCCTTAAATCCAATGTACTTTTACGCAAGTAGCTGTACTATGGTTCAGGTTATGAATCTCCTTGCAGATCTTCATTACCTTGTGTACTTTCTTGAGCTCCTTAATAGCTCCTAAGAAATTAGTCTATATGTCAATCTGCTTAATTGTAGGCAGCTTAGAGGTGGCATTCTGGATTGCATGATGTATGGCTTGAAGTTTCATCACAAGAGGAGTGGCTTCCATGGATAGACCATGCTGGTGGCCACTGGCAAAATTATGTGTAGTACTAGGAAATGATGTCCTTCTGCAGTCTTGTAGGATAGCAGCTATATAGTAGGCTTGTGCGAATATTTGAATGCTTCGAATATTCGAACGCTTCGAATATTCGAACGAATAGGGGAGTACTTGAATTCGCTTCGATTCGATTTTAAATTATCGAATATTTTCGAAGTATTCGCAATAAACAAAAAATGGTACAATAGTCTACCTGTAAAGGTGGTTTCACTGCAATGTAGTAATGCCAAGCCGTGAAAGCACCTACTCAGGAGAAATTTCGTTTGCCGCGAAGCCCTCCTTCAGATTTAAAGGGGCCCTGCAACACTTGCTGAGCATGGTCAGAAAACGCTGTCCATCGGTAGTAGAGGCTACCGAGAACACGCGAGGCAAGTATTATTGCGCAGCACGCGGCCTGAAATTCACAATAAATTTTCAAAGCTTAAAATTTCTCTCTTCCCTCAGCAAATAACACTACAAGCTCAAAAATCACTTGTCACAGCCAAGAAAGAAAATACGGCTCTGGTCACAGTCACTGGCTGATTTAAGCATGGCGCGCTCGTCGTTATCGGACCACCGCGTGAGGCCACTGCTTGTCCACAAGTACGTGCACGATCGCACTGAAAGGCCTTGTATTCGAAGTAAAAAGAGAGAGAAAAGATGCTCAAGGTTGCTAGGCGCTCATGACGTTTTTTTTTTCTATTCTCGTGCCATCCTTCCCTACTTAGCTTCCAGATCTTTTGAAGGGTTGAGAATGGAGAATGCAATTGCAGCATGCAACAAATTTTTGGAACTCCGCTCATACTGGACCGATTCTAGAAACTTTGCGGCGGTAAATTTGTGAGGCGACAAGCATGTTTACTGGCTCCATGGATACTTGAAAATGTGTTGCAGGGCCCCTTTAAAGGAACATGTTACCCTCAAATCAATCCATTTTATTAAGTTTGTTGTGATGGTTTATATGATTTAAGTATAATAAATTTTAAAACGTTATGTATCTTACAGGTTATCACTCGTATCCTACCAAAACTACTAATCAAGGTTGTTTCGACTTCCTTTCAACGAAAAAAAAAAGGCATTTACATAGAGTCCCTATTTCAATTCAAAAGAAATATTGTGCAGGTTAGTTAGGTTATGATAAATATTCCCTATTTTTATATGTCATACATACTATTCGAATTCGATTCGAAATTATTCGACCAAAATCACTATTCGTTTCAACTTCGCTTCGACCCTGAAATTCACTATTCGCACAAGCCTAGGATATAGTTTGCAGGTATTATCGCGTGGGGCCTCGATGATGGAGCGTTCGTGACTTGTAGATGATGTATCGAAGCGCCATAACTTTGTTGTCTTATAGATGCGATTTATTAGATGTAATGGTGGTGAAGAATATCCAATTAAACGGCAAGAGCTTGTGTGGAAGCAACTGCAGATGAGCTTTTTTTCTACACCAATTCTTTACCCTCACATATATACCACTACATTTACACCTTAGTGTAACCTGTGCCGAGCCCCTAGAGCCAACATCTTCCACATACATTGGGGGCTGTCTGAGTACAAGTGCAAATTACTACAACGATGCAGCAGTGGGAGGCCACACTGGTAAGCTCCGACCACAACGTGCAGGTCTATTTTCAAAAAGACCCTATTGTTTGTGAAATGTTGATTGTGGTTGCAGTGCTGGCTGTCCAATTTTATAGACAATATTTATGTACTTCTATGTACAGCAGTCACATCGGGTTATCGTCTATTGTGGTTAGGTGCGATGCGCTGAAGTTGACTTATGTAGCAGTATCCAGGGCTATTATTCTCGCAAGCCGCAGTGCTTTATATCAGCTTATCGCTTCTGGTGTTGCGATTACTCATGTTCCTGTTGGCATTGTTGGGCAAGTGCAAACAACTGGTTATATATACATCTACAACTGTGTAACATAGGTCTGTAAGTGCAACATTTGTACATATATTTAGCATCATTTCATGACGTGTTGTTCGATAAAAACATTACAACACGGTTGCCTTTTCGCTGCATGCTTCACCTAACTTTGATTCCCAAGGTTCGTGGGATCTGCCGATTTCTTTTTTTGTTTTACAGAGAGACCTGTTTTGAGATCGAAACAGGGGCTGTTTTTGGTGCCATACTTGTCTGCTGCCACCGACTGTAACCACTATCGCGCGAAATAACAAAAAATTCAGTAGGTAAAAGAACACAAAGGACACAATAGGATTTGAACCAATGTCCCCTGCGTGCTAGCCCAGTATTCTACCACTGAGCTGTGCTGGTGTTTGAAACTGCATTGCAAACTGACCTTAGGCAGGCTTTATGTAGGGAAAGGAATCTCCTTAGTATGAGTAATGAAGCATTTGAGAACAGCAAAGAAATAACCAGGCATCACACAATGGAAATTGCATAACGAGTGGGTTGTCGAAGACTTCAACCCAGTAGAAAAGCCTCGAGCATAATTTTCTTCATCATTGTCAGCCACAGCATCAAGAAATTTCTTGCAAGTGTATGGTGGGTACCACACTTTTCCGATGAATCACCAAAAATGGTATTGAGAATGCCTTTCTACCTGGCAAATCCCCTGCAATGGGTGTGGGCTATGTGCAGAGGTGAAATAGAAAAATGCTTCTTTTCTGAAAAAAATTATTATTTATGGTGTACTGGGTACCCTGCAAGTGGGCTTGGAGCACTTGCTCAAAGAATGTCTAAAAAGGTTCTAGAAAGGCCGCTCTTCCAGCTTTCGCTGTGACTGTGCGGCACGTTTCATGCAGGCCTTGTGGTTTTTGATACCCACTTTCTGCTCTTTAAAAGCGATTTTAACCTACTTTTAGTTAAATTACAATCTTGATTTCTTTTGTCATGAAAGTAGGAAAATTAAGCTTATGGAAGCAAGTAAAAACAAGAAATATATAATTTTGGAAAAAACTTCGGTTTATTGCGTAGCGTCTTCCCTCAATGCACATAATATTGTGTGGCAGGAATGTAGAGTCGCGCTAGAACGAGTGGGTGTTTTAAGGCGCTCCTATTACAAAGCACTCAAGCATAATTTTAATCAGCAACAGCGCCAACAAAGTGAGCAGCTGTGCAAGTGTGCATGGCACCTTACGGATCGACAGTGGGCACTTCCCAACAGTACTTACAGTATGTATTTTAGAAGAGTTTGAAACTGGCAGTGTTAGGGGTACTGATGTTCCTTTTTTTGCTGCTCAGTTGAGGTGTTCACAGAGAACTGAAGTGAAACCAGGCCAGCTACTGTGAAGACGCACATGGGGCGCTACTCGCTATCATGTCCCTTACTTGAAGGCAAAGCTCAATCGTCCTCCAACTTTTATTTGCATTGTGACGGAGATAAACAGTGAGCTATGCTCCACATAGTTAGACCGGGATGCCTACTTCGTGAGCCACCGTAACTAGAACATCCCTTCTAGCCCTAGTGTTCCTTTAAAATATTAAAAATGAATAATAATAATAATAATAATACTTGACTCTTTCATATGTACAAGACAGTTACATGCCACTGGGATAAGGCAAAAGAAAACAGGCATAACTGTTTCCTGACTTTCAATAAAGTAAACAGGCAGCTTACCAGCAAGTGGTGCTTGTATTTTCATGCAGCAGCAGAGCCAAGCAGGGACCATCACTCTGAAACTGGTGCCAGCGGAAGAAGCTTCTGTTGGTCGGGAGAGCAGAGTGCGTGTCCGAGCATTGTTTGACTATGATCCGGCTGCAGATTCATTGATTCCATGCAAGGAAGCAGGCCTGCAATTTCAGCGGGGCCAAGTTTTGCACTTGGTCAGCCAGGATGACCCAAATTGGTGGCAGGCACGCTGGGAGGGTCAGCGGTCAGCACGTGCAGGACTTATACCTGCACAGAGCCTCCAGGAAAGGTACGTTGAATGTGCTCATGAATGACCTTTTCTGACTACTGATGAGATTGAGGTTTTGTACCTGTGTGCATGAAATTTTCTGAGTGCAGAAATCACATACACACTCGCAGAGACACACACAAAAAGTGGTATTACTGCTTCACTGCTCATTTAGAATTCAGTGTTGCATTTTAATGGCAGCATCGGGTACACAGTGTACTTGAATTAGTAAAAAAATGGGTTGAGTTTGATGCCTTATTTTCTCAGATTTGATGTTCCAGAACCATCTACAATGATTAAATGTGTGTGCAATTGCTGTACATCTAGGTTTGCATAAAGGTTTGCAGTAGACAAATTTGAACTTCTTACTCTGCAGACAGTCAAAAAGTATCAGGGCGCCCCACTCAGACAAGTGCAGCCAACTTGAAGCACTTGGCAGCTAGATGATTTAATAGAAGCATAGCGCACGGCCCAGATCTCCAGGCTCAATTGCGCTAGATATGGCAAAGCGATTTTGACGAGAGCAAGCATCGCATCCCCTCTCGTGAAAAAAAAGGGGTGTCACTGCCAGATTTTATTAGATTTGGGGATTACAGTTCACCCTTCCACGAAATATGAACCCTGTACACGATCATGGAACAAGTAAAGTGAGGGCCACAGCCTCCCTCTCCTAGCTTCACAATAACAAGGAAAACGCTCTTTTGTAGATGCATGATGATCAAGATCACACAGCTTTGTGACCTCTGTGGTCAACATGAGAGGTCGCATAGTTCGTGATGCTTTGGTCAGCACAGAGTTTTCTGGGGTAGCAAAACAGGTTGCGGTCTAGCGCTCACAATTAGGGAACCTCTTCTCTTTCTCTCGGATTCTATGACGGCCATTCAGTTGTTTGATGTGAATGAAGTTTCGAAAGCCACTCACAGCATTCTTACTGAATATAAAATTTACCCTCGCAAGTTAACGTGGTTTTCTGCCCACATGAGCACTGTCGTCAGTGCCCCCCCCCCCCCTCCACCTCATTTTTAATGAGCTAGGAAAGTTATCCCAATTCGAGGTTATCCAGCAGGCCTGCAGTTTGGAGCCTCTGGATCCTACGCCTATAGCATGCGAGGCCCTCATTGAGCTCCCACGAGCTCCTCTCCAGGACTGTAATAAAGTTCGTCTAACTGGCTGACTAGAGCTTAACGTCGGTCACTCCTCTCAGGCATGGAAGAGCTCGACATGTTTAAGGAGCTGTTGTAATGTGCAGAAAGCTGAGTATATGTGTTAACGTAATGTCACAGGGCTGGTGTACAAATAGCAGCATGTGTTCTGGGAGTAAGATGGCATTATAAAGTTGCTGACTCGGCATGGACAACCATGCAATTATTGTATTCTGCTACAGTATTGCCTCTGGCCATACGAACCAGCATATAATACAGTGTAGACCACTTATAACGTAACCGTTTATAGTGCAGAACCGCTTATGTGGTCTTTTTCTACTCCCCTTTACCCTCCCATAGAACCCCATATATATGCACACTGCTTATTGTGCAGTCCCCCAAAATGAGAAGCCGGTTATAATGCGGTTGCTGGAAATTGTTTGTGACAACTGCGGTAGCGAGTGCGTTTCTGAAAGGAGACTGCTTGGGAGAGAATGACGAGGTCGTTACGGGGGAGGATGTGACACGGAGTGAAAAAACGAAGGGCTGAGGGAAGAAAAAGAAAATAAAAAAAGACCGCGGGACACTGCACGGGCTCGTCGAGTAAGGGAAGAGGACGGTTGCCTCGGTGACGGATAAGCATTTGCACTGGCGCCGACGCGGCTACAGTGTACTACGTCACTAGCGTGGCTTCGGCCGCACCCCATTCAACGTGCCACGTGCGATCATCCCGTCCTTATCAACTGCATGTGCTTAACAGTTTACTGTTGGGAAAGACGCCGTCAATATCCCCCTTGCAACAAATATTTTGTTTGCCTCCTCATCCGTAAATTGAAAACTTTTTACGGTTTTATGACTCGAGCTTTCACTTTTGCTCTCAGTGCACTGTTGTACGTAAGCTTGGTGAGTTGTCGTTGCTGATCTCCCGGCCGCGAACGCGAACTTCGTATTATGCACGCTGTTTTTGGTTCACTGCTAGTGTGATCTTTTTGACGCCGAATCTTCGTGTATTGGACAATCTTTCCGCGACAACATACCAAACAGCAAGCTAGGCCTAATCAGCATTGGTTGGGCATCTGTCGGTAGCGGTCGTGTGAATCTAAGTTGCGGTTTGGTGCCGAATCAATGGAACTCTTTGCGGTGGCCGCACTTGACCGGAAGGGATACATATCGTTTATGAAAACGAGGGCGGAACCTGTAGCGCTCAAATAGTGGTTTGCGATTCGATTGCGGTGTTTTGAATCGGCTGCACGCCCGTGAAATCGAATGGTTGGCGTTTTTCAACGCGTCAAATTCTGGACGTGGTTCGACAGTTTCTGTGTAATGTGCATAATCGAGGCGGTCCGGTAGTCGGCGAACTTCCGCGATAGTGTTTCATTTGTTAGACCCCTCTTTTCGCGTGCATTTTATTGGCAACGCGTGTCTTTGGACGTCGAAAACTTCTTTTAACATTCAGAAATTTAAATGTTAGCAAGCACGAATCGCATGTTTCGATTCTTGGACACGCAAAGCTGCATGCTCAACACGTTTTGCGCAAGTGCAGCTCTTGAAAAAGGGTTGTTTTGGTTATTGTGCGGGTCCGCTTATAGTGCGGATATTCGTGACTCCCGAGACTTACGTTATAAGTGGTCTATACTTAGTAGCTGAAACAACCTACATTTCAAGTTAGAAGCATTGGGCATGATGTACTATAAATTTAAATTTGTCATGGAACTCATGTCCTAAAAACTTTTATGACTGGCAGTGTATATACAGGTTGTCTCAAATAATTTGTCCAACATCCTAAAAAAAAAGTTATATTGCTCGCTGTCTTCACAATTGCTTTTTCTGTAGTGGCTTGCATCTTATGATGATTGAAGATGTCATATTGGAGAGTAATTAAGAAAGTTATATTAATTAACCTAAGAATTAGTGGAGTTATACAGTTATGCCGAACAGGAGAACTGAACTACTTAAAGCAAAATACCTGTCGCAGCTTTAAAGTATAGAAAAGGTGGCCTCTTGAGTTATTGGGGCATAAAGAAATTCAAGCGAATTCAATGGCGAAACCGAAACTGAATCACTGATGAACACAACACGCAGACTAGTAGAAAGACACCATTGTTCAAGATTCCCCTTTTACTAACATATGTGTGTCGTATGGGCTGTTATTACAAGTGGAGCCCACACACTTACACTATGAAGTGAATTGTTTATTGATATAAAGACGCTCACTCATGCTGGATGTCTTAGATGAATGTGGTTTTTTGAGCGAAAAATTATCGTCTTGTCTATGTCCAAAAAATCCAGAAAGATGCAAATAAAATAAATAATGAAAACTTTTGGGTCTGAGGAACGATCGAATCCAGGCAGTCTGCGTGGCAGGTATGTGTTCTACCACAGAGCCGCAATATTTGCTGAAACTGCTTTGGAAAGAAACACTATATATGAATGTCATGTAGTGGAAGGAGTCTGCTTAACATGTATATTGTGGGGCAGAAGCGTAGAATTGTGCCAAGCATCAAAAGATGTGAATTGAGCAACGAGTGTTTGTTTCTAATACCCACTAATTTACAAAGTGCTCAGCCATAATTAATCATCAGCAGCAGCAGAATCAACAAATTTAACAACTGCGTAGATTCGTGTGTTGCTCTATGGACACGTGGTGGGCCCTTCACTGATTCGCAAAATGAATAATTATGGCATAGTGGGCACTTAGCCATTGTACTTGTGATAGACATTCAATGAAGCCTTGAAGCGGCCAATGTTTCCTAATGACATTTATTTTCCTAAGCGGCATTTGTTTTCCTAACGGCACGCTTGAGGCATGCACCGAGAAGCGAAGCAGGCTAGCAGTACAGAAGGCAATGTGCACGAGTCCCGATTACGCTATTTTGACCTGCCCTTGAAAACAAAGGTTTAGCGGCCTCTAATTTTTTGTGTAGGTTCATTTTTTCATTATATAATTAGGAAGTCAATAATTTTTGTTCTAAGCACAATAGACTAATAACCACCTCACAGAAATAAGTAAATGACATATACATTAATAAGAGCATGAGGTTCACAACAAAGGAAGGACTTTTATTATTGCATCATTATTTCTTACTTTAATGTGCATTCAACTCTGTTGTTTTGAACATGGCCATGCAGTGGTCACACAAAAAGCAAATTTTTAACTTGAAACCATACTAATTAAAATTTGCTTGCCTTGTTGTGTGCTTCAAACCTATAGATTCATGCTACGAAAAGAATTTTTGTTCTGTGATAGTTTGATATAGTACTGCAGAAACATCTAGCTGGGTGTGAAAAATAAGTATTTTGAGAAAAAAATCTAGAAAACAAACAAATGTCAACATTGTCGAGAGGCACAAATGTGTGTGCACATACGCTCACAAAAATTTAGTTTGAAAAAATTTAGTACTTTTCCAAGACAGTTTGAAATGGAAGCGTGGCATAATTGAATATGTTGCTTTAGCATGAACACATTTCTGTTACAACTGAAATATGAACGCCAGAGACAGGAAACTAAGCAGGTAAAGAGAGTAAAATAGGTGCAGATTTCAAACGTATTTTTTGAGAAAATAGATTTTTTAATGATTTTTCTGTGTTAAGACCCATGTCCTCCCTTAAAGGAGTACTGTCACAAATTCTATATATTTCGGAATCGTTGCTCTAAATAAGAACATAGGTTTTGAAAACCCTCAAAAGAGTACTGTGGTGCACAGGGATGCATCGTACACTCAAACCTCGTTATAACGAAGTTGAAGGGAGCCATAGTTATTTCGTTATATCCAATGTTTCGTTATATTCATTAGAATAGTTTGTGGCAATGTATGCTCAGATTTGCACACACCTATAAGCATGCAAAGAAGAAAACCGCCTCGCGGCCTAATGTACCGT